ATTTGCACAGTGGTTCATAAAACCTTCTTGAGACTCATCTACATCAGGTAAAATATCTTTGGTTGCCTTGCCACAAGTCCGCATCTGTAGAAAACAGAAGCATCCCAATGTCTTTGGAGGGGGGGAAAAGCATCGAGGGACACAGACTACTTCACACAGTGTAATGACAGAGTGTCGTGGGGAGAAGGGTAAAGAGCAGTCTCAAGCTCGGAGCCCGGGTTTCCCATCAGATATTTCACCCTTGGTGAGAGATGCCCCGGGGCCAAATTACAGGCCAAATGTGTAAAAGTTGAGACTCACTTTTTCACGTCCTGTTTACAAGTATCCTGGCTGGGAAACCTCACCTGGGCTTCTGTGCGCTCAAATTTGCTTCAAGCGTAGCCTAGGGCTTCCCAAACCCGTGGCCACTCCCAATTAGGAGACACCTCGGAGAGCTGGCTGTGACAAACATCATTACGTCTGAAAGCAAGTCAAAACAATCCCGAGGGCTTCTGTCCATCCACATGAAGAATTACCTTTTTTTTTTTTTAAAAAAAAAAAAAAAAAAAAAAAGCCACAGCTTTGGAAGGATTTAGGAGCAGCAGCGGTCTCGGGAGGTTTGGATAATCTAGGAATCCCCGGGTTTCATATAAAGCAATTTACACTAGATCTGAACACTGGCAAACAGTCAGCTAAATCCATTATCGCATGATAATGCTCAAACATTTCATTAATTCCTAACCAGCTGTCCTCTGCTCCCTTACCCCTTTCATCATACAAACATTTCTTTAACTGTCTGAGGGAGGGGAGAGGGAGGATCAGACGCAGCCTCGTAAAATTCCTTCACCCGCTTGGCCCGCGGCAAAGTTATTTCTTTTGACACGCGTGTAAAATAATATTGGGGGTGGTGTTTGTTTGGCTTGGCTGGATGGTGAGTTTTCATAACAATTTGGGAAGCCAAGTACCTGTGAAATGGAGTACAGAGAACTCGGGGCAGCTTGTTGACGATCCTGCCGGCTGGTTAATTAACATATCTCGTTAAATAGGGAAGACCCCTCGCTCCAGGGTCTATGCCAAGACACAAGGCAAGGCGTTCCGAGCAGGATATTGCTCCCCAGCGTTCTGAGGTCCCGTAGGTTATTTCTTTTTTAAAGTTCTCGGGCACTCCGTGCCAAACAAACTAGGGGAAGCGAGGGAGGGATTGGTACCTTGGGGGGTTCTCCAACTTCCCGACTCACAAAGTGGATATCAGTGTAAGAAATCAGAGAGATTTTTAAGGTGACTTCTGGGTGCTTTCTTTAGGGAAAGCTCTCCCTGAAGTGCCTTAAATCGCTCCACACTGCCCAGGGACGCTCCAAGGAACGGGATTCACCGCCCTGCTGAGGAGCGGCAGACCCTCACCCACACCGGGGGGCAGAGCGTGTCTCCAGTTCGCTCTAAACCACAGTTCAGGGGCTCTTCTCCCAGCCCCTCTCCCGGGCAAACGTAGCACACGCCTGGACAGCACATCTCCTGACTGACACTCATTTCTCCCCTGCCAAGACATGAGAATGCGTTTATTTATTATGGGTTAAATATTTGGAGTTGAGTAAGAACCTTAGAGGGAAAAGGTGGGTCTGCTTCCTTGGGTATTTTTTTTCCACCCCCTCACTCTTATTACAAAAAAATTGGATATTTTTTTTTTTAACCAAAACGTTGTTTTATGGAAAATTACCCTTTCTGACTGTAGGCTCAGCTAAGGGCTGACAATTAACAGCTCTTGAGTGAAAATAACACGAGGAAATACAATGGAGAAATATCTGGACACGTCTGGACATGTCTGGACATTGCCAGAACGAGTCTAAAATGTCAGCATGAGGTAAGGATCACGCTTCGCCACAACAGCAGGCAACAAAAGGGCTAAAATAAAAGAGTACTTTTAAATTCTTTTCAGTTATTTTAAAGCAGAGTGTCAAAACATTAGATGGTCCAGTCTGCCATAAAACTAGAAGCAACAAGAAGCACATCTTAGGAGTTGTAACTACACCTTGAGATCACTTCTCAGTGTTTTCAGGTGTGTTACGGTCTCATAGAATTTCCACTTCACTCACTGAAGTCGTTTCTCTTACTATGGAGTCGTTAGACTTCTTTTCTTCTATAAGTACAGGTACATCTTGTTTCTTCCATAGAATAAGCTAAATTGCTTTATTAAGCAATATCACAGCTGTGAGACAATGGATGTTGTTCTACTGTCAAGAGTAGGTGTTACACTGGGTTGTCATCAGTGTGGTAGCTTTATCTTCACCATTTGGCTAATTAAGATAATTATTTTGCCACTTTTTGTACCTATAAACATCAGTTACATGTCTGAAAAACCATGATTGTTTGAACAGACTTTGGGAATCCTCGCCAGAGGATGGATATTTTACTGAGTTGTGCATGACTGTGGTCATGCAAGCTTTTCAGCCCTCAGTCTGAATTAACCTAAAAATAAATACATATTGATCATAGCATTGCAGAATAAATTATTAATGTCGGTTTTTGTTTCTTTAGGGGTTGTACTAGAGTCTCTTTGTTAGACTCCAGATTCATTTTGGTTTTTAATAGCGCGTAGATGTGCACAGTTCTTCCATTTTGCCTTCTGTGTGGTTTTCCTTTTCTGAAGCCTGGTATGCTTCGTGGTTTATTTATTCATGAGCTGCAGAGAAAGAAGTTCACCATAAAAAAAAAAAAAAAAAATTTGTTTTGGAATATACACTTAACGGCGTGTCAAGAAACAGAAAACAATTACACTTACGCAACGTAACGTGCATTTTTACATGCCGCTCGCACGCTGCTTTATGCCTCCCCAGTTTATGTAAGTAATGAAAATTAAATATCATGCTACCCTGCCCAATATAGTCAGCACAATTAAGGCCAGGAGATGTTAATTGGGAATAAAAAGAACCACGGTCTCTTATGGCAAGTTTGCAGCGGGTGCTTCCAGTGCTTCCACGGCAGGGCTGTGGCTGCCATGGGGAATGAGGCATTTTAATGTCCTGGGAGTCGCTGGGCACTGTGTGTGTTGAGGGTTGTGTTCCCCAGATGTGACAAATAGATGAGAAATGCCACATGCCACCCTCGCCATGGTGGCCTGGCACACGCATCCCATTGCAGTGCTGGGCTGGACATGAGAGGTGCCTCATGCCCTCCGGAGAGCAGCCGGGGTGAGGTGGGGAGGCAGGATGGGACCTTCCCCGTGGCCAGACATGAGGAAAGGTGTCATTTTTCCTCACGACGAAGGACAGTTCTGGCAAATTTGGGCCAGAGTATCTCAGGTAGAGAAGGGCACTCACTCCTGCTCTTTCTGAGCTGTTGCTTTGGAGCTGTGCTTGGCACGACTTTGCCTGACAGGGACAAGCCACTCCGTGTCACGTTTTGTGCTAACACCCACCACCTCAGTGGGGACAGCGCAGGTGGAAGCCTCCATTCACCCTCAGGTTGCCGCTTGGGCTCCTTTTCTGACCAAGAACCTCTCTTCAACCCCAGGGCAGTGCTGGCAAGCTCATCCTTCCCCGCCACTCAGCAGTAAACAGCCCTGACACAAACTGGGGAATGAGATGCTGGAAAGCAGTGCCATAGACAGGCACCTGGGGGTTCTGGTCAACGGCAAGTTGAATATAAGTCAGGAGTGCCCTAGCAGCCAGGAGGGCACACCGTGTCCAGGGGTCATCAGGCAAAGCGTCGCCAGCCAGGCCAGGGAAGGGATTGTCCTGCTCTGCCCTGCACTGAGGTGTCCTCACCTTGAGTACTGTGTGCAGTTTTGAGCACCATGATATAAGAAAAATATTAAGCTACTAGACAGTGTCCAAGGGAGGGCTACGAAAATGGTGAAGGGCCTTGTGGGGAAGCCGTATGAGGAGCGACTGAGGGCACTTGGCTTGTTCAGCCTGGAGGAGGAGACTGAGGGAGAACTCCCGGCAGTTACAACTTCCTCGTGAGGAGAAGTGGAAGGGCAGGCACTGATCTTTGCTCGCTGGTGACCAGTGACAGGACCAAAGGGAAGGGCATGAAGCTGTTTCAGGGGAGCTTTAGGTTGGATATCAGGAAAAGGTTTTTCACTCAGAGGGCGGTTAGGCACTGAACAGCCTCCCTGGGGAAGCGCTCACAGCACCGAGCCCGACAAAGCTCAAGGAGCATTTGGACAACGCTCTCAGGCACGCGGTGGGATTCTGTGCGGGACCAGCAGTCGGACCCGGTGGTCCCTGTGAATATTCAGTGCGATTCTGTGGCTCTGTGGCTCAGTGGCACCTGCCTCGCCGTCCCGCTCCCTGGCTCCCCTCAGGTGGCCGCCCCTGGGGGGGACGCCCGGGCGCCCCCGTAGCCCCCCCCCCGTCACCAGGCAACGCCCCCCGCCCCCTCCCTACGAGGCCACGCCCTCATACATATTAATGCGCACACCTCCGCTCTACTAAACCACGCCCCTCATTGCATATTTATGAGGCACTGTATTATACCCCTCGCTGAGGCCACGCCTCTCGTTGCATATTCATGAGCCGGGGGCGGGAGGGGGCGGAAGCGGAAGCGGAAGCGGTGCCGGTTCCCCAGGTCCCGGTTATAAAGCGGCCGCCGCTGCCCCCGGAGCCGCCGCGCTCGCGCCGCCGCCGCCCGTGCCCGCGCCCCTTCCCCGCGCCCTCCCTCACCCCGCACCCCCTCACCCCGCACGGAGCACCCCGGGGGCTGGGGGACACCCGGGGGCAGGTAAGGGGGGCGTCGGGGTGTGAGAGGTGACCGGAGTGAGGAGGGGGTGTGGGAGAGTGGGGCGGCTGGGAGCGGTGCGGGGGGAAGGAGGTGAAGGAGATGAGGGGTTTGGGGTGAAGGGCTGGTAAAGGTGAGGGAGGGTTTGGGGTAAGGGAGATGAGGAGCTGGTGAAGAAG